CCCGCTGAAAAAAGACATGTGACTATGTGAAATTAAATCATGCTCTGAGGTTGACACATGAATTGCTAGGGAATCTTTCTCTTTTTTTTTTGCTGCCAACTTAGGTCAGGGACATTCAGAGAAAGTTAAACATGAAAATGGGTGTGCAACAGATTTCTCCATATTCACGGGTGTTTTGAAGCTGCTGTATGCCGGGCACCAGATGCCAGATACCAGATGCCAGGACACCAGGCACTAGAGACCAAACACAAGACACTGGATGGACACTGGGCACAAGGCACTAGAAAGCACAGTTGGTGTGTCAAGAGGTGACTGGTCAGAGAAAAATAATTTTGATTTGAAGACCGACACTCAGAGAAAAGGCGTGGGCCACCAGATGGGCTCATGAGTGTGTTTTTTGTTTTTAATCCTCACACGAGGATACCTGAGGTATTTTTTCCACTGGTTTTTAGAAGAGTGAGAGGGAGGAAGGGAGGGAAGGAAGAAGGGAGAGACCCTGGATGCTGGCCCTGGGATACGGAAGGTTGGATTCAACCCTGTCCAGATGCCAACACGCCCAAGAACCCTGGTCCAGCCTCTGACCCCAAGTAAAGCATCAGTTTCTTTATCTGTGAGATGGAGACAATGATGACCCTCACCCTGCCTGCCAGGTACTAACAGTTCCTCAAACCTGGAGACCTCCATGCACAGAGGCAGTACATCTGTGTGCAAATACACACGAGCTTATGCAATGGGCTTGGGCACTGCCAGCACATAGAAGGAGCTCCAGAAACACAAATGCAGTAATAAATGAGGACTGCTGACTCATTCGCACAAGGTCCAACTGGCAGGCCACAGAGATGAGCCACCCAAGGCAACTCCTCCAGACGATGGGGAAACCAAGGCTGGGCTTGTCCAGGGCCTCTGAGACAGTTTTATACAAGGCTTACACTGGCCACATCACAGGTCATGAAATCCGTGCAATGCACCAGCCTCACCTTGCACCACAAGCCGTGCCTGGGACCTTGCCTGGCCAATATCGCAGGAGTACGTATCACTGTCTGCCTTTTCCAGGGCACTGATGGTGAGCCTCAAGGTCACGCCCTCCTGGCTGGGTGCATGCTTCCTCGAGGCATGCAGCTCAGAGAGGCCCTTTCTCCAGGTCACCGTGGCTGCAGGGCGCTCTGTCTTGCAGGTAAATACAGCCTGGCCTTTTTCCTCCACCTGCAGGTCAGCCAGCTCCTCTGTGAACTGGTTTGGCTTTTCTGGGAGAAGAGATAAGAAGGGGTGGGGTGAGGCCTACAGACCCCACAGGACATGGGCAGTTCTTCCCCTGGCCTGCCCATGCAACCTCAAGGACTGGGCTGAGCCCCTTCCCTTTCTACTTTGGATAGCACAGTGGAGGCCCTGAGGGAGTGGCCCCATGACACACTGCGGGAGAGAGGCCATGGGCGCTGCCTCAGAGTTTCTTGTGGGGTTACCTTCCACATAGAGGCTGGCTGTGCTCTTGGAAGCCTCTGTTTCACACGTGTATTCTCCGGAATCTTTGAGTGAGGCCGCGTGGACTACCAGCATGGCCCGCGTGCCCTCACAGAGCAGGTCATACTTCTGACTCTTGCGAATGGCTTTCCCGTCCTTCAGCCAGCGCACTGGGGAGTCCACCCGAGACAGCTCACAGCTCAGTATCGCATCCTCCCCTGCCATGGCCCGCTGGTCTTCCAATGGCTTCGTGATGTCTGCCGGCCTTTCTGAAGGAATAAGAGGCAGCCTGTGAGGCACGGCCACAGCCACACCAGAGACAATGGCAGGGCTGGTGCTTGGAAACCTTTAGGCTCTGGAGGCCAAGCCCGCAGACATACAGCCTAAAATTCTAGGACATCAAACCTAGGAGCCTCGGAGCCTTGGAATGCCAGGAGTCCTCACTGTGACAAGGGAGGCATCTTTGAGGGGGCGGGTGATATGAGAGCACAGATGCTCTTAGCATTGTTCAGAGCCCATGACATCACGTAGCCATGGCTGGTGCCACCTGTGAGCGAAGCTTCACTGATCTGCACCAGTGTTTATGCTGGGAGCGTGAGCTCAGTGGTTTCACTGGCTCGGTGACCATGTGCCCTGGAGCTACCACAGCAGTCAGACCACAGATGCGAGACCAGAAGCCCTGCTCCTGCCCCCAGATGACCAGAAACCCCACATCCCGACCGGAGCTCTGGGCCCCCACCGGTGGCTGAGGGAGGTAGTCCCCAGAAGCCTCCCCTGGAAAGCTGCCCAGCCGAAGGCTCCACTGCAGGTTGCCTGGGGAGAGTGGCCCATCTGTCCGGGTGCTTGGTGCCCACCTTTGACAAGGAGCGAGGCCTTGGAGGTGAGGCCGCGCACAGAGAAGACCACCTCCCCGGTGTCACTCAGCAGCGCCTCTCGCACAGCCAGGATGTACTTTCGGCCCTGGCGAGTGGCCCGGAAGCGGCCTGAGCTGCCCAATGTCTTCCCGCCGACTGTCCAAGTGGCAGTGTCACCTGTGTCCTCATGGGACAGGATACACTCGAAGTTGCAGCCCTCACCCTCTAGCACCTCCACGTTCTTCAGCCTCTTGGTGATGCCCACGTGCAGGTCTGTGAACCATGAGAGGCAGCGGTCACTGTGGCCGCCCCAGATGCCTGCCCCTCAAGACCAGCATCATTGAGCCCCATAGTGTTCCAGAGGCTCAAATACCCACCCTCCCCAGCCCACTCCGGGCAGACCTGCTGCCCCCCAGCCAATGCCCCCTTGGCCTCCAGCTGGCCACACCCTGGTGTTTGGATGGCCAATAGCTGTGAGTTCTGACCAGGGCACCGCCTTCCTGCTACAGAACAAGGGGCAGAGAACAAAGCATCAGTTTTCAGTAGCTCACATGCTCTGGAAGGATAGGTGCCCCAAGTGAAGGAGCCGTCTAACTCTGGGGCAAACCCACTGCACCACCCTCCCCCTTTTCCTGTCTCATCTCAAAACCCACCAGATGTCAGGCCCCCACCATGGGGTCACAGAGAACAGGCCTGTCGTGCATGTGGAAGGGAAACAAGACTACTGGAGCTGAGCCAAGATAGTGACCACCTGGTTGGGAAACAAGTTCCAGGGCATCCCCCCCTGACACCTTGGTCTCTCCTGCTTCCCACCTCCAAGAGGCTCCAGTGACTGTCTTCACACTCCCCACACATCCCCTGGTGCACAGTGAATGTCTCCAGGTCCCTGTTGGTCAGGCACCGCCTGGCCCGTCTCCCACGCTTCACTCCGTTGCTATGTTCCCTGCTAACCTGCCTGCATCTGGGCCTCCTAAGGATCATGTCAAGCCCGCTCCTCCTAGCCTGCCTGACCTCTCCTGACTCAGTGAACAGCCCCGGCTTGAGTGGGCAGGGGCCTCAGTATGTGGCCACGCCTTCTGTGCCAGGCCACTCCCCCTCTCGGCCACGCCCCCACGCACCGTGCACGCTGACGTGCGCGCAGGTCTCCTCAGTGCCCAGGTGGCAGGTGTACAGGCCCGCGGTCGTCCAGGCTCAGGTCGGTGGACCACCAGCCCACGCGTGCCCGCCGGTGTGCAGAAAGTCGGACTTGTCGCTGGGGCCCAGCTCCACTCCGTCCTTGCGGCACACCACAACCGCCTGGGGTCGGAGACCTCCGACTGCAGGTCAGGGTG